TGATGAATGAACCCATCTCTTGATTGTAGAAGCTCATTTGCTCTCAACCTCTCGAATATATTTGCACATCTCTCATCCAAAGGAGCGAAGGAGAAAGATTTCAGGTTCTTCTCAAGTTGTGGGCTAGATTGATCATCGTGCAACTTTTGTTTGCATGGATGTTGGAGATGCACGATGCAATAGTTGGAAAAAGTATGATATTGCAAAAAATCATCATTTGGACGGTACTGCGATTGTTGCATGGCCATGAAATTAGAGTCGTTTTTTCTCATTTTGCTTTGCAAATTTACTTATACCTTTGGTTGGAAGGGTTGGTTGACAACTTGTGTTGTTGAGTTGCTTACAGTTCTTTCTCCTTGAATACAATTTTCAATCTCTTTGCCAACCTTAATAAAATTATAGAAGGTGTGTGCAGAAGCTCTAAGCAACTTTTCATAATATAGCCCTTCTTGAACATGGATAAGATTGAGATCAACTCCTCTTCAGACAATGAAGGATGATTCTTATAAACTTCTAACCTCCATCATATGCCATATTCTTTAAAAGATTCATGCAATATTTACTTCACTTTAAGAAAATAAGTTATATGCAGATTATATCAATTTTGAAGTCATAAAGCTTTACAAAGTCGTGACCATATCTTCCAATGTATGCCATATGATAAAGTCTTGCTCATTGTACCAAGCATGTGCTAATCCTGATAAACTTTGAATGAATAATCTCATTCGTATGTCTTCAACATGTCCATTACCAACCAATATGCTGCAATAGTTATTTAAGTGAGCAATGGGATATCCTTTCCCAATGAAAGAATTGATCTTAGGAACTATGTGTCCTGGCATAAGTTCAACATTTGGATGCATACATAAACTCCCATACATCAAACTCTGATAAATTCTTGAGAACAACTCTTCATCAAATAATTCTCTCATATTATGGAGCTCTTTTCCAATATCTTCATGATAAATTTGTTGAATATCCTTCTCATCTAGGATATGGAAGAGCGGATAATTTGTTGTGCTTTTTTAATATAATATGGACGATCATATAATTTTTTGTGCTTTATTCATTGTAAGGAAATTTAATTGTGGGAGAATGAATATTTGGCATAACAGCGATTTGAACTTTATTTGAATTTATAGTTCATACAAATGGCATTCGTGGAGATGTTGTATAGGTAGAAGCTGAGGGGGGAGATAAGGTTAGACAAATACTATGATTTGAGCTTGAAATTTTAGTAGTTGTATGAAGAAGGTTAAAGGTTGTTTCCAGATTGACAAAATTGTTTACCCACCACATTCTTCTTAGAATCATCATTTTTTTCTTGCACGTATCCCACGCCATTGTTTAATGCATTCAATTTGTTCGCCATTATAATTCTATCCATAATGCAGATTCATAGTCAAAACAGCCTTCAATGCTAGGAAACCTCTAAAGAAGAAACAAAACTTAAAAATATATAAATTGGGAGGGTAGGGGAATACATGAAGTAAATGCAAGTACAATAAAATATAAGATAAAAGAATAATATGCTTGATTTTGTAACACTACACCATTTTCGTCCTACAACAACACCACGTAAGTGTAGCCTAAACTAGCAAAAAGTGTGGCCTTTGATAAAAGGCTACACTTTTGGACATTCAGCAACACTTTTTAGGGGCTGCCCAAAAGAAGCATAACCTTTGACATTAGGCAACACTTTTTAAATGTTGTCATGTTTGGCTACACTTATAAAGCGTAGCCAAATAGGTATAAGGGCACGCTTTGAAGACGTGCATTAGCAACACCTATTTTTTGTTAGACTACACTTAAAAGTGTTGCCTTTTCAGATTTATTGGTCACACTTAAAAAGTGTTGCCTTTAAGTGGTCATGTATTGAAATAGTTATAAAGTGTAACTTTATATCTCATCTATTGCAACACTTTCAAAGTGTAACTTTTAATTTACCTAGAGCAACACTTGAAAAGTTTAACTTCAACATTTATAAGCCTACATGTAGCAAAAATATATATAATATATTTACATACATACAAGTGACCTAAAACACAAAATGAACTAATTAATCATTAAATTGAAGCTATATATTTCAAATAAACTTCAAGAAGTATTTAATGTACAAACAAAACTTAGAAAGTGATAACTTAAAGATCTCTAATATCAACAAGTTCCAAAAACCCGAAACAGTCATTCAAACGTATATGACAACAATACAAAAATTTCTTCATCTTTTGCCACAATAGACCGAGTTAACTTCTGGCCAAATTCAAATTCAATTACCTGCATTTTCCTGCACATTTAAAATAAAATTATAAGTTTGTGAATTAATTGTGGAAGTGCATAATCAGAGAGAATTCACTGTAAGAAAACCAATCCAAATCTAAATAAAATTTCAGTGTAAAAATTACACATTATAAGGACAACACCATTTGCGTAGTCTTCTATTGTTGGCTCTAAAAAATTAAACTTTAAAAGTAGTTCAAACAAACTAGAGATGATCACTGGAAACAGGGTTCATAACATAGTTTAGAATGACCACAAAAATCAATACATAACAACATGAACATTATATTTTCAATGAACTGCAGCATAGGGCAACGTTCATCATCAGAATGCATCTCTAGTGCATACAAAAAAGACACAAACATCATCAGATTGCATCTCTAGGGCAAGGTTCATCATCAGATAGTAAACAAAAAAGACACAAACAAAAAATACAGACAAGAGAAAGGTTTAGTAAGAAGAGAAGGAATGCTATAAAAAGACACAAACAAAATCTTGAACAAGGTAAAAATTTAACAGACTGTGAACAAAAAATAGAGGACCAGGCTGCAAGAAAATCCCCTGCAGATTTTCCTCTCCAATTTTATATGCCTTGTCTGTAGTTTAAACAAGTAACCATTAAGGATCTATCAAACATAATAAATCTACCCACAAGATCTTCAATTAATGATCAAGCTCAATATAGTTTCTCTACCCTACAAAGGTAAAGGTTAGCAAACCATTAAACTCTATACTAATAACAATATAATTGTCTAGCATGCAGACATTTTAATCACATGATGCACCACATTAATACTAACAGCCACAACCACCTAGCTAGCAGACACCGATATTAATAAAATAGCAATAGCTTCATAAAGGTGCATACAGACCATTAAAAGACCAACTACAATAGCCTTTACAATGAGCTGGATTCAGAAGCTAAAGGTAGAAAATAGAGTCATCATTTTTTAATTGAACACCATTGAATTGGCAAAAGTACCTCAACTTATCCGAGGAAAATGACTCCGCCGCATCAGCCTCTCCCCCGTCGTCCTCTTTTTTCAGAGGACTTTCGGACATGTCCCCTGCACCGGACCTTGGGAAGGAAGTGCAGGACTACCAGTGATATACTGGAGGAGAGATGGGCTCATTCGACTAATCAGTGATCCCTGGGACTACCTAACACAGATGTCCCTGAAATAGGGGATTGGTTGATCGGAAAGCTCAGGCAGGAGTAGGACATTCCATACAAATCTTTCTGATCCGCTAGCGGGTGGTAAAACATAATGTGTTAGCCACAGTCTCCTCAATTGCACAATACTAAAAGAACAGTTATTCAACTAACGATTCGAGTGCTTAAACCAAAAACAAAAACATTCTTAACAGTTATAAATTGGTGGTCTAAACTTAGACAAGTAAAAATAAGTTTTGAATTTCATTACCAAGAACACCAACCTAACTAGAAGAAAAACAATATTGACACTATTAACAAAGAATTTGAAATACAAAATACCTTTTGAAGAACAGAATCTTGAGCTGACCCCGAAGAATAGTGAAGATTTGTGCCTCTATAGCTTGTACACTACTTGCATCAATAGGTGAAGCAGGTTAGATCCAACACACCCTGGTATATCTTGAAAAATCAATCCAACTTTATGTTCCTACAACATCGCAACTAGAAATGTGAAGGTGAACCAGGCGTTTGATTTAAAGAGATAACACACACCATATCCACATAGTAAAATACACAATGCTACTTGCTTTGTTATGATGCGGAGATCATTTTTGCTTTCATCATGGTCTTAGGCAAATCAACACACCAACAATTTATAGCTGGCACAATATCCAGCTCAAAAAACCTAATGGAAGACATTAACTTCTGAAGTATTGTGCCTGTTCACACCACTGTTCAAAATACTTTTACATGCTAATTACACTTTGGAAAGGCCCCATTGTCATGGTGTATCCAGTAGAATCTTATTTAAGTTTTTTTTTTTGTAAAAAACTACTTCTATAAAGCTAATAAACTCTTAAATGGGGAGTAAATCACTGCCAAGACTAACAAACTAACTGTCCTTCTGCGATACACTAGAAGAATACCTAGATGATGATTTGACTGATAAACATAGAGGCAAAGGCCCATCCTTCAAAAGAAAATCAAGAAAACAAAATGCATGTTATTACTAGAAAGTGCATAGTTATTACAAGAAGAGTCAATTTAGATCATCTCTTTTTTAAAAAGTCATGTAGAACAGTGAAAAGCAATAACATGAAGAAATGAGTATTGATAATAGATAAATTCAAGTGAGCTAGATAACAAAGTTTAGCTAATAGGGTACATACACTTCATCAAAAAGCAAGTTCATTCAGCAAGTTCATCTTCTTCAGCTAAGATAAAATCAAGTGAGCTAGATAACAAAGTTTAGCTAAGAGGGTACACTTATAAGGAGTGGCCTGAGCAGCTTGCTTCCTTGCAGGAACATAAACTGGAGCAGTAGGAACTGTAGCTGCTGGTTCATGTAGCTAGTCTTCTAATTCTTTATGTTCTATCTTTAATTTATTTAGCAACAACATGATGCAAGAACTAGTAGAAATACATAGGCATTTTACGTGATAAAATATTGCTTAATATAGAAAACATACAAGCTCCTAAAATCAGGTTTAGTAAAAAAATATTCAAATAGACTACAATAAATAAAGAAAAACACTACTCAAATACAAACATTTTGTTGTTCAATAAGTAATGTTTTTGAAGGATCGACATGCCATGTACAGTATTTGGAATATGTCTAGTTAACTCATTGTTAAACATACCAATCCTTGTCAATCCAGTAAGATTACCAATTTCTCGAGGAATGACACCCTTCAGCTTACATTTAGATGCTTCAAACATTTGCAAGGAGTTTGAGAAATTACCAATAGATGCAGGCAATACACCATCCAACGGATTACCTACTAACATTAGTGCTCTTAGATTCATACAGTTTTTCAATGATGCAAGGAAGCTCAAAGTTGAATCGCTGACAACATTATTCGACAGCAAGTGAAGTAACTCAAGGTATTCTAAGTTACCAAGTGATTAAGGAATTATACCTGTGAAACTGTTTCATGAGAGGTCAAGTTGTCTGAGTTTTGATGAATTTGAGATTGAAGTAGAGATAAAACTACTCAGATTATTTCCTCCACAATAAAATATTTCTAGGTTGGGCATTCCACGACCTAAATCTGAAGGTAGAGTACCTGAAAGATTATTTTCTCCAAAAGCTATATTCTACAGTGATGACAAGTTGAAAATGTTGTGAGGAACAGAGCCAGTTAGCTCATTCTGTGCGAAATCTAACTCGTGAAGTTTCTGAAGATTACCGAACTCCTTTGGTATCTCACCTGCCAATTTTCAGGAAATATATCATGAGTACCAAGTTTGCTGGAAAAGAGAAAAAGAAGAAAATTTCATACTACCTTCCAAATGCAGATCTGAAATATATAAATATGTAAGAGCTGTTAAGTTAGCTAGCTCTCTTGGTAAAGTTCCAATAAACTCATTGTCACCCAATTCCAATTTTTGAAGCTTTCTCCATTTCTCAAGGTTTGGTGGAATAACTCCATCTAGGGAGTTTTTACTGAGGTAAATTCCTTTCAAGTCTGGAAGATGATCACATATAGTTATAGGAAGATTTCCAATAAGATTGTTCTCCGTAAGATCAATCACATGCATTGTAGTAATGTTAAAAATGGATGGTGGTATAGAGCCACTAAGTTGATTAATTTGCAGGTTTAGGATAGTCAAGTAACGAAGATCAGTGATTTCTCTAGGGATCTCTCCTTCAAGAAAATTTCTCTCCAAGAATAACATTTGCAGCTTTGTTATATTTGAAAGGGAGGATGGAATTTTCCCAGAAAATTGGTTGCTTGATAGTTGCACAAAGCGTAGGTTTGGTAACAAACTTAAAAATGATGCAATGGTTCCGGTGAAGTTATTGCTTGTGACATTAATTAATTTCAACCTCTGCAAACGAGCCAATTCTTGTGGCAAATCTCCATGAAAAGTGTTGTTACTGATGTCAAGGGAAGAAATAAATGAGACGTTTCCAATGTGCGGAGGAATGGTACCATAAAGTTTCATGCTAGAAATGTTTAAAGCATTGACTCGATTGTGACTTGAGCTGCATGTGATTCAAATCCAGATGCAAACCGGGACGGAAGATGATCAGTTTGTTGCTATGATATTGCTAGAAATGTGTGATTTAAGTTCAAGAAGAGCAGCTTCATCAGTGCTAATATTATTAGCATTGGCATGTAGTAATAGTAGAATGAAAATTATAAGAAAAAGGAGGAGAGTGGAACTTCAGTCCATAACTGATATAGATATCGAATTTGATGATAACTATAATGTTGTGTATTCTATTTATAACACTACCATGTGCGGTGCACGTGATTTCTAATTTCTGAAAATCAATTTAGGTACTTTGTTTTTCTCCCCTTGATTTTACGAAACCAATTACGATAAGTAAAACTTTTTAGAGAATTTGCATATTTTAAAATAGGGAAAAAGATCTAAAATATATTCTAATTTTGATTGAAATTGTTGTAACATTCGAAAGTTTTTTTCTCCAACAACCTTATCTAATTAAGGCTCCCTCCCTTCATTCAATATATTGACTACTTTCTTTCATATGTCGTGGAAAATATATCTTTGACACTTTTCAATCATCTAATCTGATATAAAACTAGTTTTATGTGTTATAGATAATGAAGGAATTTAAAAAGTGGAAAGTCTATCTTTGACACTTTATCAGTCATCTTATCACTCTATGCAGCTAAGCGAATGAGGGAACGTACATTCAGCAATCAATAAAGACAATCATAATCCTGTGCAACAATATGCAGATATGTGATTGCAGGCAACAGGTAGTTGCAGTCTGGTTAGCAGGGATATTCAAGTTGTTGATAAACTCGGAACATAGATTGTTGTCATATGCATTCCAGCAGAGAATTGGTAAACAAAGTAACACACATGTAGCACAGTCATGCATTCAAAATGACCATATTATGCAGACTTGGAATGTAGAAGTACAACTTACATTTTGAGGATATATACTAAAATCAACATCCTACCAACAAGTTTATAAAGTATGAAACAACAGAGCATTTCAGATGCCTATATCATTCCTATGCTACAGAAAGACTAAAAAAGTCATATAATTTATATATTGTTCAAATCGACTATGTCTAACTTAGGTATAGTTGTTTGAATAGGTTTAGCTTCTTTAAATTTTTTCATGTAAAGGGAGAATCTCCCTCATTTATGTAACCTCTCTAGGTGCTTAGTCTTTGATTACAAACTCATTGTATAGGTTGAGTTGACTAACCTTAGGAGGTAGGTTAATTCGTATCAACAACACAACAATATCAAAACCGTAAATTAAAATTTAGACATTCAAAGATACACAAGAATATCAAAACCTAAAAGCTATAATTAAGACTCTTAGAGATAAAATTTCATACCTTACAAACACTGTTGCAACAACCCAAGACGTGAGGCGTGTTCATGTGTGAAACATTTTGTTCATTTGTGAAATCCGACGGAACAGCTTGTTAACAAAGAATCTGTGATGAAAAGAGCAACTCATCAACAAAAAATATGTGACAAAAATAACTTTCTTCAGCTCTTCGATCTTCAACAAGGAATCTGTCTTACACTAACAAAGCTTGGAGCATAGAATCAGTTGGTCAACATCTGCTCTGCTCAGCTCCTCTGATTTTCAGCTCCTCCGATTTTGGAGAGTAGAATCAGTTCAGCTCCTCCAATTTTCAACTCTGATTCAGTCTTCGCTTCCTCTCTTCATCTCCTCCAATTTTCAGCTTCCTCTCTTCGGATTTCGGCTTATTCAGTCAATTTGAAGTTCTTGAGAAAAGAAATCGTGTGGATTTCTACATTTTGAGGCGTATGTTCTTGAGCGTAGAAATCGTGTGGATTTTTCAGCTCAGCTTCCTCTCTAAGCCCCAATTTGTTTTTCCTAATATTTTAACAATTATTTTTTTGTCCAAAAAAATGGGAGGGATACTAGAAATGTTGGAGGGAATATAATATTTTGGTGAAATTTATTTTAGGCCACACTTCTAAAGTGTTTGTATTTACCATTATAAACATAGGACCCTTTAAAAGTGTGTCCATATATATAAATAATTGTTGCCATTAATTTCATACTATGACAACACTTAAAAAGTGTAACCTATACACTTTACAAGTGTTGCCAATATTATTGTTTCCAGAAGATAAAAATTTAGGCTACATTTTAAAAGTGTTCCCAAAAATTTTTAAGGCTACACTTTTCAAGCGTTACTCAGATTTAGTGTGGCCATAGGCCTAAAATGGTGTAGTGTAAGAATAAGAATTTAGGCCTGAGGCAAAGATTTCAGTCTATGAAGAGGGGACGAGAGTTTGATATAATCTTCTAGGATCTAATGATGAAAATGAAAGAAAAGAATATTTTGATTTGGAAAAAGGTTGACTCATGTCGAGTATAAAATCTTGGCTTCAATTATATCCTTATCCTTTGCTAATTTCGGCATGCTTCCAAAAATTATCTCGCTTGCATGCCAAAATTATGCTCCATCTTCATTCTCTAGAGGAGGATGTGTTAATATATGCATTAAAGTTAGTCAAAAATACGGAAACAAAAACAACAAGAAATAGATAAAAAAAACTTTTTATTCCATGTCCATAGAAAGTGTTGTGTCTCCTTAAGAAATTAAATTCCCTCATGTACCCTAGGTTGCAGATTAGTTTCCCACAAGATAAAACGGATTAACCTGTTAAAGAAGTAGCGGTACTTCGAACTTCAATAACATATGGGAACGTAAGAACAATAACAAGCAACACAAGGACTGAGTTGATCAACACTTTGTTTATGAGAGAAAATGTAGGTAGAGAAGAAACAATTTTTTGTATTTGAAAAACGAAAAATGACTTCCTTTTTATAGCAATTTTCAGCAAGAATTGTGTCTGTTCAGACAAATTTGTTCAGACGCATTTTTTCCAGAAGGTTGTGTCTTTTGAAAAAATTTACAAATTTTTGGAAAGATGTGTCTTTTGTGAAAAAATAACGACTTTTTGGAAATCAGATTGTTATTACTGTTGTACGCGAATTTCAAATATATTCCACTACGCCAAAAAAAATTCTGTTATTTAACTAACATTCTGAATTAATTTATAAGAGAAAAGAAATTGATTAACAGGATTTATCTGATTAACAAAAATGATTAAACAAATTTTGTCCAAAAAATTTATCAATCTATCCAAATCCAAACCTGAATTCGAATCAGAGGCCGAGGCCGAGGGCGAGCGAGCGACGGCGGCGGCGCATGGGAACACCTTCTTCTTAACCTTTTAAGAAGTATAGCAAGTGTTTCCTAATATACTTTTTATTTTCCATCCAAAATTTGTTCCCCCTCTTTTCCGATTTTGTCTTCTCATTTCCCATTCACACTTTGCTAAAATTTAACAATTCCCCACATGATTGGGGAATGACTATTGTTAAAACAAATGCAGAAAAAACTTTCGTGTCTTGTAAGTAAGGGTTAATCTCATTTGGATAAGAAGATTTCCCTTAAAACTTTTCATAGTGAACATATATCGGATATACTCGGTCAATTAATATATTTGATATCTTTGAACGTCAAGCTTTGGTGTATACCTAGACAACATAACTCACACAATCAACCTTTTAATTGTTCTTAGTTCTCATTGTTTTGTTCGTTTCATCCATGAACACATCTCAGTTAGTAAGTTCTTAGAGAACTGGCCTTCCCACATTCTCCTTGAAGCGTCGTACACTTCACACTCACATAGGTGGTTTCTAAATGTGCTATCTCATATATACAATATTTGATATACCCTATATTAAACTAAGAAACCATTAAAAAGTCCTTATGCCTTTATCCTGGTTACTGAACATTCTCTCATCATGACAATGGACCATAAAATAATTTTTGACAATGTTGAACCGTCATGAATGACTTTTTTTATCTCCTTGAACCCAGGTCATCGTATATCCAGTCTTTTAGGTAGATTTACCACCGCGATGACTTGTTCTCCGGCATAGTCCCCTTCAATCGATGAAATCTCAACTCCCAATCTATTTAGTCCATTTGTAAGTGGATCCGACACATTATCCTTTGACTTTAGATAGTCAATTTTGATAATTCCACTATAGAGTACTTGTCTAACTGAGTTATGTTTCGTGGTATTTGACAAGACTTGTTGTTATTCATAACAATTCCAGCCCTTCCTATTTACATCTTGCCTATCACAGTGTATGCATATATGGGTCATTGATTTGGGCCAAAACGGAATATCTTCTATGAAATTTCAGAGCTATTCAACTTCCTTGACTTGCCTTGTCTAAGGCTATGAATCCAGACTCCATTATAGAGCGAGTTATACATGTTTTTTTATGATTCCTAAGATATTGCTCTTCCACCAATAGTGAAAACGTATCCACTGGTGGATTGTTTTTAGTAGACCCAATAATCCAATTTGAATCACTTTATCCTTCAAGAACTTCTGGGTATTTGTTGTAATGCAAATCATTATTTTGAATGTCATCTAAGTATCCCAAAACTCTCTTCAATGCGAACCAATGATTTTGATTGGGACTACTTGTGTATCGACTCAGTTTACTAATAGAGCTAGCTATATCTGGTCATGTACAATTCATGACATACATCAATCTTCCAACACTCCGGCATAGTCCAATTCAGACTAACTTTAACCTTTATTCTTTGCAAGATGAAAGTTCACGTCAATTGCGGTCTTTTTCCTTTTGAAATTTAAATAGTTGAACATTTCAAGTATCTTTTTGAATATAATAAGTTTGAGATAATTCTATAATGTTAGGAGTTTTGAGAATCTTAATTCTCAATATCACATCAGCAACTCCTAGATCTTTCATATCAAACTTACTAGAGAGAATACACTTAGTATATTTTATATTTACTACTAAAAACAATGTTTAGCGATGGATATTCGCAACGAACAATATTTCGTCACTATATAATGATGGATTTGAGACGGAAGAATCATTTTGTTTCAAAACTAAAAAATAATATTTTGATTTATAATATAGCAAAAGATTTACACAGGAATATATAATCCGTCGCTAAATATTAGAGCGAAAAAATTTGGCACCTAATTTTCCCTACGAATTTAGTAACAAAGTAGTGGTGACAAATTTAATTAGAATTGGGCGACGGAATTAGTGACGAAAAAGATTTCTAAATTATCAAATATATTTTTTAATAAAATTATATTATATAGTGATGAAAATATTCGTCAATATAATTTTTCTAAATATCTATATTTATTTGAAATCGACGAATTTTAGAATCCATCACTAATTCCGTTGCAAACTTTAATTTCAGATTTTCATTAATATAATTTAATCTCATCCGTCTATCATAATTTATCAAACTCCAAGAGTAAATCTCATTCCCGCGTCCGACTTTATCAATGGTCCTAATTTAAGACCCTTGATTTCCCATCTTATACAAAAGATCCAAATCCGTCATATTCTTCATTCTCCTCCCCTCCTTTCAAAGTCCACCGCCCAACCCTTGTTCGGCTTCTTCTCTGTTCTTATTTCCGGCCATTGCAGCCTGGAGAACAAGCAGTCAACAACAATGGTGAGCTCTGGAAGACGCGCGAAGACCACCAGCGAACCTCCTTCGCTAGAAGAATCTCCAACCGGCGAGCAATTAGGTGACCATGTGGTTTTTGTTCGGCTACAGTAGCAACACAAAGATAGCGCCAACAGTTGCCTCTTTCTCTGGCGAAAAAGGACAGCAACTTTAGCTACACACAGCGAGCAGCGATGGTGAGCACCGCTACATCGAGCTCCAGCAAGTGAGGGAGAACACAACAACAATTTCAGTAATAGGAGCTCTATAAGCATTTTAGGTGAAGAAACTCTTTCCTTCAATGCTCTATAAATAAAGCATTCTTATCATATCATTTATGGAAACACTAAGAGCTTAAAAGAATAAAATGACAATCATTCTTATGTAATTTGGTTTTGTCTATTTCATGAAAACTATATTAAAGCAATTGTTCCAAAACAAGTAGTGTATGAGTTTCGTGAGATGATGTTAGATTAATTCTAATTTCTTTAACTCAAGTCAAATTCAACCTCTTGACGTTTTTGAGAGATAGTAAGCAATCAAAATATGTGATTTTTATGCTTTTTTCAAGTGAAACTTATAGATAGGTTGTATAAATCAACAAAAGCAATTCGAGTTGTCCAAAAGGATATGTATGTTTGTACTGTACAATATGGTGGTGTTTCTATAAGATCCATCAAAGACCAATGTATTCTTCTATACATTGCCTTTATCCTTTATTTTCTCAACTGTGTGTTAGCCATTTTATATTTGTCTCATTTATGCCCCCTTCCCCCCTTTTCAGTTCACATTGAAGCTGTTGCATTTAGGTGTATAAAGATAAATTGTTAATCGAAGTGCCTCATTGAGATGGCGGGCATAAAGTTTCCGTTGGAGTCACACAGGTGACTCTATCTCAATCGGAGAATATCACAGAAAACTTGTAAGTATATATTTCACAACTTATATAAGCACTATGTATAGGTTGTTTGATATATACACTTATATCTAAACACACATTACGCAATAGATATTATTGTATCTAAAGGTGATTTATCTTTTGAATAGGCTATTGAAAAGGATCGAAATCCAACACCAAGCGAGTTACATTTGCACGTCCATACGCATTGTTATGATGAAAAATCTTTTTTTGATGAGCGCTCTCAAATTGTCCATGTAATTCCAAATCATTGAAGCCTACCTGAAAATATACATATAACTTCTCATTAGAAGGGGAAACTATCTCTCTAATTCTTGTTTGGTTTCTTTTTTTTTTCCTTAGCTTACCGTTTCATGTTTTGTGAACCTGTTGTGAGCTTGGGATTTATTCGTTTGTGATTTCTTAACTGTAACTAATTTGTCTTTTTAAGATGGAATGTCTTAATCGCTGTTTGAGTCC